TTTTCCCCAGTTAGTCATCAGAGCTCTCCAGAGCCAGGCCCTGGGGCATTTCCCCCTTTCTACTCCCCACTTTTGGTGGGCCTGTTGGCAAGTCCAAAAGTCACAGTATAAGGCCTTTTAATTGAGCTTGCTCAGGTTTGATAACTGAAATAGGAGCAACAAACAACTCTCAATCTAGCTGTTTTTCCATGTAATATAAAGCCCTCTTATAAGGCAAGGAGATAAGTTGGACAAAGATTGACTGAAGATAAAAGTAAACACGTGCAGGGGGTGGAGGTGGGAATAAAAAATGTCAAAGGTAGAAAAACATGTGCACCAAGTTTATAAATAATAAATATATCATTTTAACTATTAATTATTTATACATGTTTAGATTATTTTAACTTGTCCATAAATAAATTAATTTATAAAAACAATGTCATATGTAACAGGATTTTTCCACAATGCTAGTGTCTTTTCCTAATCAAAGTGAGAAGCTGTTGGGTATAACTTATGCAAGAGTAGCATTACTTTTTACATGGCTGTAATATTTGGCCTTTTGGTTTCATACTTAAAAAGTCACGCAAGAATATGGCAATATTTCAAAGTAACACACCCTGATGTTTTTTACTGCTTACAATAATGGATTAATTTTGTCTAATATTAATATGATTGAATGAATTGAGCTCCCCCCCCATAACCATAGTGCAGTCAATACGTTATTAACTAAGTTTAATTTATTTGGAAGCAAAATGGTTTCAACAGAAAGCTCCTACCTCCTTGTCAAATGTTTGTGTTCTACTTCTGTCTGATAGAAGTAATAAAGGCACTGTTACAATCTACTTTTAACAGCTTTGTGCTGGTGCAGTTCCAAGACTTTTCTATATAAAACAGCTACAGTATAATAGCAGCCATATGTAAAGGAAAGATGAACTTGAAGGAAAATTTAGGATCCCCAAACACATAATGTTCAGCTCTACAATTAACCCTTGCTGTTTCTTCTTAAAGGAGAGGAGTTCATGTAGTGCTATTTCTCTTCATGTGCATTTAATTCTTTTTTATCCACTTTTAGTTTTAAACCCTGGTATATTAAACAACTTCTCTGCACCAGGCTTTTATTAAGATATGCTTTTCAAAAATAAAAAATCAGGAAAGGCTAAATTATAATATCCCTTTCTAAGCTTCTTCCACTTGCTGCTGATGGCATGCAATGTATATTCTTTTTATCATAGAATCCTGGAATTGGAAGAGACTTTGAGAGGTCATTGAGTCCAGTCCCCTGCCCTCACAGCAGGACCAAACACTGTCTAGATCATCCCTGATAGATTTCTGTCTAACCTGCTCTTAAATATCTCCAGTGATGGAAATTCCACACAATTTATTCTGGTGTGTAACCACCCTGGCAGGAAGTTTTTCCTAATATCTAAATTAAACCTCCTTTTTTGCAATTTTAGAACATTGCTTCTTGTCTTATCAGAGGCCAAGGAGAACAATTTTTCTCACTCCTCTTTGTAACACCCTTTTAGATACTTGAAAACTATCATATTCCCTCTTAGTCATCTATTTTCTAAATTAAGCCCAATTCTTTCAGTCTTTCCTCATAGGTCATGTTTTCTAGACCTTTAGTCATTTTTGTTGCTCTTCTCTGGATCCTCTCCAATTTCTCCACATCTTTCTTGAAATGTGGTGCCCAGAAATGGACACAATACTCCAACTGAGGCCTAATCAGTGCAGAGTAGAACGGAAGAATGACTTCACATGTCTTGCTCACAACTCTCCTGTTAATTCATCCCAGAATCATGTTTGCTTTTTTTTTCTGCAACAGTGTCACACTGTTGATTCATGTTTAACTCATCGTTCACTATGACACGTAAATCCCTTTCAGCAGTACTCTTTCCTTGACAATCACTTCCCATTCTGTATGTGTGAAACTAATTGTTCCTTCCCAAGTGGAGTACTTTGCATTTGTCCTTATTTAACTTCATCCTGTTTACCTCAGACCATTTCTCTAGTTTGTCCAGATCATTTTGACTTATGACCCTATCCTCCAAAGCACTTGCAACCCCTCCCAGGTTGGTATCATCTGCAAACTTCATAATTGTACTCTCTATGCCATCATATTGAACATAACTGGTCCCAAAACAGACTCCTATAGAACCCCACTTTTATGCCCTTCCATCATGATCGTGAACTGTTAATAACTACTACCTGAGAATGGTTATCCAGCCAGTTATGCACCCACCTTATAGTAGCCCCATTTAGGTTGCATTTTCCTAGTTTCTTGGTAAGAAGGTCATGCAAGATCATGTCAAATGCCTTACTAAAATCTAGGTATACCACATCCACCATTTCTCCCTTATTCACAAGGCTTAATATCCTATCAAAGGAAACTATAAGATTGGTTTCACATGAAAATCCATGCTGGCTATTACCTTTCACCTTATTATCTTCCAGATGTTTGCAGATGCATTCTTTAATTACTTTAATTACTTGTTTCATTATCTTCCCTGGCACAGGGGGAGGAAGTGGGAGGAGAAGCTCAGGGCTCAGAGTTGGGGGTCTCGCCAGCCCAAATGTCTCCCAGCACCATGGATGCGGGGGCCTCCACATCCCTGGGAGTGTGTGGAGGGTGGGGAGGAAGAAGCAGGATAGGGAGAAGGAGTGGGAGGAGGAGCGATAGCTGGGGAGGCAGCAGGGGCTGGAGCAACAGGAGGCATCAATCCCTGCCCCTGGGTCGATGACCACCTGGGGGGCATGGACCATTCTGCCCCCCCAGAATGCGGTCCGTGGCATCAAAATAGGGGCAGGGGTCTGGATCTGTCCCTGGTTGGGAGCTGCCCCTGTGGCCCTGGAATACGCCTGTCACAGCTCCTTGATTTTCATGCTCCTGGGTTCGCATGTGGCTTTTGGTGTCCAGGCTGGCAGCCATCTGCCTGTAGACGGTTGCATTCCTCCATTTAGTGCAGAGATCATGGACATTGGAGGCATCCCCCCGCCTTTGGGTGGCCGGGCTGGCAGCTATCCTGCCCTAGACGGCCGCATTCCTGTGTCTAGTGCGTAGGTCGTGGATGTTGGGGGCATCCCCCCCAAACCTGAATAAGGGCCATGATCCCCGTCCTGGACCAGGAAGGCCCCCGCCTTCTCCAGCCCCTGGCAGACTCCTGGGAGCTGGGGGACTAGGTCTGGGGAGCAGTGGAGGGCTGGTTGGCACTGGCTGCTTGGCTCATGCTGGGGTCACTGGGTCAGGTGCAGCGACTGCTGGCTCTGGGCTGGCAGGCTTGCAACTGGCACAGGCACTATGGCCAGAGTCTACCCCTTTAAGGGCTCCGGGGAAAGGAGGAGGGAGAGAAGTTTTCTTGGTTGTGCCCAGAGTGGCCACTAGGGCACTCTGGGAAGGATTGGAGGCCCCCTATTTCGAAATAAGCATCTACACAATGCTTATTTCGATATAGCAATTGGAATGAGGTATACCAATTTTGAAATAAGCCCTCCGCTATTTCAAAATAACTTTGCTGTGTAGACATACCCTGAGATATCAACTATGTCATAGTTGTGTTTGTTAATTAGCACTTCAAGTTCTTCCTGCTTATTTCTCATATTCCTTGCATTTGTATATAGGCATTTAAGATACTGATGTGATTTTGTCCCCCTTTTCTGCCTTGTCCCTCCTATATCTCTGCTATTATAGCCCATGTTCCCTCCCATTTCTAAGCCATCTCCCAGATCTTCATGTTTTTCACTTACCTGTGGGCTTTGGTCACCTGCCCCTGTTGAACATATTTTAAAGCCCTCCTCACTAGGTTAACCAGTCTGAATTCAAATACTCTCTTCCCCTTCCTTGAAAGCTGAAACCCATCACTGCTTAGTAGTCCTTCTTATTAATTAATGCTTTTGTTTAATCTTTTTCTTGTCATCTACTCCAATAGCCATTCACAGACAATCGCTATCGGTTTTCTCCTTTGTAAAATGAAGTTAACTGTTTTTGTAAGCACAAATAGGCAGCTCCTTGGCAAACCAGCATTCAATTTACTACCTGTGCATTATGGCTAATTTTCTCAAGGGCTAATATCTTTAGGAAATGCTGTGTATATTTAATTTATTACATATTGTGTCCCAAATAACTGAAACTAGGATTATGTCATAGTTTTAGCTTTAACATTACCTTTCACAGAAGGAGACAATACCAAAGTAGGCCATTTCAGCATACAATACGCTTACTTTAAGTAATGATATTATAATGTATTTACTATCATAGTATAAGAATAGTCAAAGTGTAGTTGACTGCTTGCACTATTAAAATGCATGGTATAAATACAACATAAAATTAGAGCATACCAAAAAATAATAACAGAGAGTGTGCATACAGTATATAGAATTAGAGTATACTGTTTCGGTACAGTATAAAGCATTCTTAAAGCTGAAACTAAACATGTGAAAGCATTATACTTCATTTAATAATTGAGAATAATTACTTTCAGGGGATTTGATTTTTCTTTCATATCAACATTTTTTGATGAGACTATTTTTCTTCAATTTAACCATAGTATTTACAATGCTAATACTTATGCTTTTTCTATTTTGTACATAGTTCATACTATCATCTCATTTACAGAAGTTATTTTTCAGTAAAATATTGCCTCTTCCACAAAAAAAGTAGTGTAGATGTAGTCTAAGAGTACAATATTGTAATTGCCTCAGCTGGTCATCTCTTCCTTCATCTTGTTCATAACATACTGGCTCATGACTTCCTTGCTTCCTAGAAACCAGAGTTTACTCATCATCTTGCTTGTTGTTACAACAGACCTGATTTCTTCATGTCAAAGACAGTTTTAAGCATGACACAATAAACACTGCCATATGAAGAATAGATTTTTTATAAGAAAAGAGATTTCTATGATTTTCCCTCAGACGTAAGCAACAATTAAAATTATTTACACTTACTCTTCAATCTTCTTGGCAGGTTACAAAAAGAAAAGATTACTACACATGTCAATATATATGTATATATTTCTGTTTTGCAGAGAAATGATGAAGAAGCTGTCGTGGATAGAGGTGGCACTCGTTCCATTCTCAAAACGCATTTTGAAAAGGAAGACTTGGAAGGTAAGAGATTATTTTCCCATGCATTTGTATGCTTATTTCTCTTTACAGTTGGGCACTGTTCCACTCTCAGATAAACATGTACATGCTCATTGCAATGGGTATACCAGGGTGCATGTGAAGGCAACATCTAGACTGCTATTTTAAAATCTTGGGTGATAGGAAATAAGTTTTCCTGAGGATATTTTGAGATGCAATCCTGCAAATATGCACAGACTTAACTTTAATCAGATGAGCAATTGTTTCCAGTGAGAATACTTGTGTGGAAACCTATGCCCCATGCTTAAATGTTTGCAGCATTTGGCCCCTAGTAAACTGATTGTCTCCAGTGCATGTTCTAAAATACACAGTTGTTTCCTAAAGTGCCCAGTCCCGTTATCATTGCACATTCAGCTCTCCCATTAAACAAAATAGATTTTGCATTTTAGAGTTGCACTGTCACTCACTTGAACAGGCACTTTACTATACCCGTTAGTGTCAAGGAGCAGCAGATAATTTAGAGGTATGGCGTTCACCATATCACATTGGACTGATCATTCACTTTGTATTGTATCCTTTCTCTAGATGTGTTCTATGTTTCGGTTTATAATGTATAGATTGTAAACTCTTTCTGGCAGGGATATACTTTAATTGTTGATAAAATGCACAGCATGTTTTTGGATACTGTGTAAATAATCGGTATGCAAAATTCAATGGCTTGTTGTGATAGTAGAGTCCAGTCCAATTCTGAAATATACAGAAATATAAATATTAGGCTTGTTTCACCTTGGGTTTCATGATGGAAGGAGCTTTTGCCAGTGTAAAATACCAACAAGCTCTGCTTTGCTGAGAGACCGAAAGTTGGCCAATAGGATCTAAATACTGTCTGCCTTCACTTGAGGTGAATATTCTTTTGAGATGGTATGGGGCTCATTAAATCATAGAAGATGGTTTTGGAAGAGATCTCAAATCAAGCCTGGTTTTAAAAACCTCTAAGGATGAAGATTCCACCATTGCAACTTGTGACCATTGCTTCTTGTTCTGTTATCTGTCGCCACTGAGAAAAGTCTAGTCTCATCCTCTTTGGAATCCCCCTTAAATGTTCTCTTTAGGGCTACATCTAGACTGCAAGCCTCTTTCGAAAGAGGCTTTTTTGAAAGATAAAAAAAGAGCATCTAGACTACAATCAGTACTTTTGAAAAAGCAAGCTGCTTTTTTGAAAGAGAGCACCCAGGCAGTCTGGATGCTCTCTTTTGAAAAAGCACAGTTTACATTACATAACACCTTTTTTGAAAGAGCACTTTTGAAAAAAGGCGTTATTCCTCGTGAAATGAGGAGTACCGTTGTCGAAAGAGAAGCCGCGTTCTTTCGATTTAATTTCGAAAGAACGCGGCTGTAGTCTAGATGCAGGTGAAGTTTTTTCGAAAAAAGCCTACTTTTTTCAAAAAACCCCCTGCAGTCTAGACACAGCCCTGGAGACTAAAGAAGCCCACTTCCCTCAGCCTCCCTGCATAAGTCACATGCCCTAGCCCATTAATTGTTTTCGTTGCCCTCCACTGAACTCTCTCCAGTTTGTCTACATCCTTTCTGTAGTGGGCAGATGATAAAATTAGATGAATCCACTAATCGAATAGTCGATCAGATTTCCATCGACTATTTGATTAGTCAGTAAGGGCGCTTCCACTTTGAAATGTAGGAAGAGCCACCCGGCTGTTGCCACATTTCAAAAGTGGAAGTGCCATGCAGCGTTCTGCCTTTGAAGTGTACAAGAGCCCCAGGCTCTTCAATCTTTGGGGCTCTTGGCCCTGCTGGGGCTCTTTTACATTTCAAAGAGGAAGCACCACCGCTGCGCCCTTGCCCCCTTCCACAGAGTTGGAGCAGGGGGGAACCGTCTTGTAAGCTGGTTCTCCTCAGCATCCCCTCCTCTTCTCCCCCTGGCTGCCTCTTTCTAACAGAGGCAGCAAGGGGTGGGGAAGCGACTAGTGGACTAGTGTGTTGACTATTGAATAAGCTTTTGCTTATCGGATAGTCGACAAGTTGATTAGTCGCTTACAACCGTAATGGGTGGAGGGTCCAAAACTGGACACAATACTCCAGATGTGGCCTCACCAGTGATGAACAGAGGGTAATCACTTCCCTCTATCTGCTGGCAATGCTCCTACTAATGCAGCCCTATATGTTGTTAATCTTCTTGGTAACAAGGGCACATTGTTGACTCATATCCAGCTTCTCATCTACTGTAATCTCCAAGTCCTTTTCTGCAGAACTGCCGCTTAGTCAGTCAGTCCCCAGCCTGTGGTGGTGCATGGAATTCTTTCATCCTAAGTGCAGCGCATTACACTTGTCCTTGTTGAATCTCATCAGTTTCTGATAATTGAGTTCATTTTAAAGAAAAAAAGGTGATGAAAGTAAAAAAAAAAAAACCAACATTTGTTTTGTTTCTAACTAATACAGTTTGATTTTATTTTTCTCAATGACACAAAAAATTCATTTGAATCGAATGAAATGTTTTTAATGTTGATTCAAAATCATACCCCAAACCTAATGTTTTGTTTAGAAATGTCAAAATAAAATGTTTCTACATTAACAAAAAACAACTCTTTCCAGATTTTTTGAGAGGAGCTCTTCAAACAAGTTTCCAAATTCAACACAAATTCCTGAATAGCTTTTGTGACTCAAAAATTTATTTGTCCTTTCTCTAACAAAAAGGTGCAACAGTGAAATCTCACTGAAAATTTGAAAAACCATTCGGCTTTTAGGTCTATCAGTGCTTATTAGCCAAAATGGGTAGGAATGGTGTCCCTAGCCTCTGTTTGTCAGGGTTGGAAATGGATGACAGGAGAAGGATTACTTGATGATTACATGTTTCTGTTTACTTATTCAGGCATCTGGCATTAGCCATTGTCGGATGACAGGATACTGGGCTAGATGGACATTTGGTCAGACCCAATATGGCCATTCTTATGTCCCAAAAACATTTCACATACTGGAAATTGGACAAATTTTGACTGAAAAAACTTTGTGAGGTTTAGTATTTTGGAAAAACTAAAAAATCCTGCAGTTTGCCATGGGAATCTAACACTCTTTTAAAACAATGGCACAGTGTAATTAGTAATGTTATAAAAATTATTGCTTGATGTAGGATATTATGGTGTAGCAGTTTTTGAAAGAGATTTCTGAAGGATCAAGTTAATATCTTCTAAAAATACATAACTGCCACTTGCAGAAAAGCCAAGTGACATAAAAAGTGTTGAATGTGCTGTAAATTTTAACGATTCCATTGTTTTAATAGAATCCTTGCTTGTTCCACACAAAAGTCAAGGTACGCTACAACCTAATTAGATAATTCAGTGGCTTTTGTAATACAGTGGACATGACTGAGATTTGTGACTGTTTTATTCCTATCCAATATAACTTATAATGTCTTCTCTAGTGAAAGTTTACATTTTCCCTAATTATATAATATGTTTCAGCTATATAATATGTAATTACATAATTAGTACCTAATTGTGCTATTTAATTTACTTTGTGTAATTAGACAATTAGGTACATTAGTTCCTCATCATATTTATTTAATTACATTTACCATGTTTTACAAATGTAAATAAATAATTGCTCAGTGTTGGAGCAGGGAACTAGTGTTGGCACAGTTAAGGGTCTGTCTGTGCCTTAATCTGTATTTTAGGGATTTATAGCCTTGGTACAAGAAATGCATGTTACTTTGAACTGGAACTTGAAATGAAAGTACTTAACCCAGAATTAATATTTTTCCCCAACATTTTAAATAATGCGACATTTTGGAGTTTTTAACTACTGGTGTTGTTTTGTCAAGAAGACTAGTTTATATTTCTGGTGTTTCCATTTAAAACTTCCTGGACCAGGTTTTTATCAGCAAGCATTTTTATATGCATACATTTGTGCATGTCTAAATTATGTGTGTAAGCACACAGAGTACACATGTGTATGTTTAGCTAAAAGCCGACTAGCCTGGTGTTCATGTTGTTAATGGGCTTATTCACATCAGGTATCTATCTGAATGGTGTAAGTTCCGGAACTTGCAATTGGTCCTCTTTTTCTCAAATGCTACAGCAGTTCAGAAATAGATTCCATGCAAATCTTTGATATTCATGTTCTCAGCACAAGTGACTGTCTTTTTTGTAGTTAATTTTCATAGAGTTCACAAGGTTATGGTCAGCCACTAATTTAGAGCAAATCCTTTGGCTGACTGTTACTTGAATGAAGAGAGAAATTAATCTTTAAAAACTAAGCAATAAGTCTAGCACTTTGATATAGTCACACATTGTGTGTAATCCTACAGCACTCATGGAGGAGAAATTCCTGTTGAAATATTTTGTATTCACATTTAAATCAATGGGAGTTCACCTGAGGTTGATACAGAGCTTAACAAAGCTATGCACATTGTTACCAGACTTTATATGCAACTCTGTTGCCATGGCTGCCAATTCTTAGTAACATAGTGTAACTGCTACAGGGTAGATTCAAACCTGGGATCTCAGTGTGGGAGTCTCTGCAACTTGAGCTATAAAACCAGCTGCTTCTCGGTTTAGGCTGCAGAGCTCACTCATTCTTATCTCTCACTGTAAGCGGTTTAAGTGCCACTACATGGGACAGTGAACCACACCCAGTAGGTGTGTGGGTTACAATAGCACTCCCCATAATCACCGTGAGGGGGGCCTCCATCCTGCTTCTGGCTAATATCCGTGAGAACAGCAACTTGTCTCTGTACTCAAACTTCTTCAGCCACCCATAAGTTCTGTAAATGCCCTTAGAGTCACTTATGCCACCATATGACATGATGTTGGAATCTACTTGTGGTAATAGGGGGTCAGGATTGGCAGTGGTCTCTAACCCAAACATCTGCCACCAGGTTTTGACTTGGCAAGGTACCTGGGGTGATCCCTAAATTGGTTTCCAACAGGACAGGGCAATTGTTGAGTCAGTCTCTTCAAATGGGATTTCTCTAATGACTCATAATGTACATAAGGTCAACATCAGACTATGCC